GATAGGCACTTCAGCCATTCTTAATTTCAGCCTATGACTCTAATGCATTTTGTGCTCCTTACTAAAAAAAACCTATAAAATTCTTTAGGATGATTCATGTTATCTGTCTGATGGCGGACGGATTTAGGGTTAAGAGACAGCCCACCCTGGGGGATAGGCGTCTCAATTACCCATTCCACCCAGTGCTAATAGGTTTATTATTATATATGTCTATAACAATGTGATTTTGTTGAGGACCTTTGCTTTATGTCCCTCGCTTGTATTATTTTCTATTCTGTATATATTATGTGATGTATGCCGGTCTATATAGATTCGGGGATGCATTGGTTCTTTGCTCTGCTGCTTGAATGTTTGAATTATATATGTATTTATTTATGTGTTCATGTTGGACTAGACTAGGAGTACACCAGTCATTCTTGGTACCCTCTTCTCTTTAGATCACTGCAGCTCTACTTAGTGGCTATATTTGTATCTTCTTGTTATTGTGCACTACGTTCTTTTCCCCATAGGTTTAGCTGGTGGATATTTAATCACCCTTTATCTGGCATCGTCTTTTCATGTTTTCTCCCTTTTTTGACTAAGAAGTTCTGACATATATCCTTTACTACTCTTTTTACCTGTATAATGATCTCTAAGGATTAGAGTGATACATTACTCTTGGTACAATTATGCTTTCAATTGCTGTTTGTTGGTACTTTGCTCCCTGTAGTTAGATTGGAATCTTTGCAGGTTTGATTGCTCATCCCTGCATTTTATTTTTGTATTTGTAGTATAAGTTACATGTTTTCTTTACGCATTATCTATTCCTTAGGTAGTATAGTTTGTATATTTATATCTTGTTAATAGGTTGCTACAGGCTAATTGCAGTTTGATCGCTTTTCGATTAGTTCTGCCTGCTGTCTATCTCTAACGTGCTCTCTATGGATTTTCTCTGTATCTAAATGGTCCCTGATGGGGTGTATAGGTCTTTCTTCAACATTTATAATTTATTCCTGTATGCAGGCTATGATATTTAGTTATATGTATATGTATTATTTTGTTGGTTATACTGGGTTGCTATGGGAACGACCCCGGGAGGCGCACGTCTATGACATCATCAGGCTCAATTGTTTGACCCGAGCAGGCTGCTGGTCTGGTGCCCCTGGTATTACTCCTTTCTTTAACCTGGGTAAGTTATGGGGATATTGGGGGTATATATTCTGATGGATTTGATTTGCAAGCTCATCCTGATGAAAGTCTGTGATACAGACTGCAACGTTGATTTTTATTTTGAGCTAATAAAAGCTAAGTTTTATTCATTCTACTTGGAAGTCCCTGGAGTGCTATCTTGTACTTTTGGCTGTATCTGTTTGCTGATAAGCACCGGGCAAGTACATCGAGGAAGGTGGAGTGCATTACTATTTTTGTTTATATATATATATATATATATATATATATATATATATATATAAAAAAAAATGAAAAATAGTTCCTGCACTCACGCTGATATCTCCCTTTATGACCGGGTGCCAACCATGTATAGCCCAAAAAATACAAAAATACAAATGGATGGTTGCACTCACGGTTTTTTGAATAAAAGTCCAAAGTTTATTGTCAAGTAGTAAAAGCTGTGATCAACGTTTCAGTCCTTCCATTAGGACTTTCCTCAGGATCATATAAACAGACATGGTACATACAACATATTTATATACAACATACTTAATTAAATTAAACTATTATTAGGTGAATCAGCTTACCCCCAACGAATCCTACTGCCTGACCGGCGTCCCTGTGCCTCGAGTGCGCATGCGTGACTTAGCTCCGCCCTGCATAGTGTCATCACCCTGCGTCGACGTGCCCAACCGTAACCATAGCGACGCGGGTATATACACCCGTCGCTATGGGGATAAAGTGCAAACAGATAGAAAGATCGTGAATTACCAATAATACTATGGTCGCGATAACCAATATATTTAATTGTGTAAAGTGTATTAGAACCAGTGAACAAATTAATTGGTGATATTATCTCCATTACGGCCGTGCCACATTATAAAAGTATGGCTGAATGCCGTTAAGTAGAAAAGTGCTGTGTGCAAATAAGGTGCCAGTGAAGATTATTCAGTAGCATCTAGTAAAATATAGTGATTAAATACATATATAATATAAGTGAAGGTTTAAATGCAAATACAAAGTGACAGTGCAAAGTACTGGTAAGTAATTAAAGTGACAAAGTGCTGCAATGATTATATACATACTGTGCACAAGACTATATACAATAAAAACACTAATTAAGTTCACTAATACATACACAAAGGAATTCAATCTGAGAAATGTAAACCAGGGTGCCATAAAACTCCTCGTTATTTTTATGATAATAATAATAATTATTATAGTAATCCCCAACTTGTGATTAACATTATCTCAAAATGTATCCTTTTATTAAAACCTTTAAAAATAATATAACAAGCTGGAATAAATTTGATCTGGTTACAAAGACATTATTTCACTACCTATAAGCAGCAACATATATGTAAATCTTCTCTCCAAATAAACTTTGTTTATAGGATCCTCTTAAAGAAATTATTATGTATAACCTAATGTGCACCCTAGTTTATTAAGGCAGACATGTTATAGGTTTCTAAGAAAAAAATTTTTGGTACTACCCAATTATGGATCTACAACCACTTTTTTAGATAAATATTGCGTGAGATAAATTGATATTATAAAAAAGAATGGAACGAGATATGTTCATTTAAGCCTTTTGGGAATACCGTGTCCAATTCAAAAATCCAAAATGTCTCTCTGTTTAACAGAAATTTTCCTCGATCCCCTGCTCTATTTGATGCTGAAACATGTTCAATTGCCACAAATTTTAAAGTAGCCAATGAGTGTCCCATCTGTAAAAAATGTTTGGCAACTGGTTTGTCCGACTCTCCATCCCTATATGCCAATCGAATACTTGATCGGTGTCCTCTTATCCTTTCGCATAACGCCGTTTCTGTTTTTCCTATATACACTAGGCCACATGGACACATTAATTTGTAAATAACGTGTGTAGATTTACACGTTATGGTGCTCTTAATAGGGTATTGTTTGTTCGTGTGTGGGTGAAAAAAACTTTTTGCTGGCGTCATGTGTCCACATGTAACGCACCCAAGACATCGAACACAACCTCGATTTTGAATAAACGTGTTGTCTGAGTAACTTAAAATAGGATCCGTGTGTACTAGTAAGTCTTTTAGATTTTTGTTTCTCTTATAACAGATAAGCGGTTTTTCACGAAATACTTTGGGAAGGGTGTCGTCCGTTGCCAAAATTCTCCAGTTCTTTCTTATCGCAGAGGAAATAGACTGAGTGGATTTATGGTACGTGGTAGGGAAGACCAATCTTTGAGTTGATGTTTGGTCTCTAGGTATCCGAGGTTTCTTAGCTTCTTTCAATGCTTGATCTAACGCCAAGCGTTGATATCCTCGTTGTAGAAACTTTTGTGTCATCTCTGCTAATTGTCTCTCCTTGGTAGTCTCATCAGAGTTATTCCTCATCACCCTTAAGTATTGCGCTTTGGGGAGTGATTTTATCAATGATTGTGGGTGGGCACTGCTGGCATGCAGTAGAGTATTTCTATCCGTCATCTTGGTGTAAAGACTATACTCTATCCTGCCATTGCCGACCATTAACTCTACATCTAGGTATTGAACTTGTTCAGGACTGATGTGTGCCGTTAGTCTTATAGGCACCGGAAGTTGGTTAAGACCCTCCACCATCTCATGTGCCTGCATCGCTGTACCTTTCCAGATGATCAGAAGATCATCTATATAGCGATAATATCCCTGGATTAAGTGGCTATACGGTGTCAAAATATAAAGTTTTTCATACATATACATATATGCATTAGCGTACATGGGGGCCATTGCCGCCCCCATTGATGTGCCAGACACCTGTAAATACCACGAATTTTCAAAACGAAAATAGTTCTTTTCCAAGGCTAAAGTAAGGATTTCCAAGACAAATTCGATGGGAAGTCCCTTATACACCGTTGAGGCTAATAATACCTGACGCATAGCCTCTATTCCCTCCTCATGTGGGATCACCGTGTATAGACTACTCACATCCATAGTAATGAGTAGAGGTTGATGTCCTTCAAATTCAATATCACCAATTCTGTTCAGTAATGTAGGTGTGTCTTTGATACAGGTTTCCAATTGTTCTACTGTATCTTTAAACAAGTAGTCGAGCCATTTGGCTAAGGGTTCAATAATTCCATTGATTGCGGACACTATGGGCCGGCCTGGGGGATGTTGAAAAATCAACTACAAGATATAGATACGTATGTGCCATTAGAACATGACCCTACAGTGGAATTTCAACGTATGATACACGACACACTGTCTATGGGTCTAAGAGCTGGCTTTATCGACATGGAGTTGTTTCAGTTCCTCAACCAGCAAAATCCGCGGAGCCCTATAATTTACAGCATCCCAAAAATACACAAGAACGCTCAACATCCCCCAGGCCGGCCCATAGTGTCCGCAATCAATGGAATTATTGAACCCTTAGCCAAATGGCTCGACTACTTGTTTAAAGATACAGTAGAACAATTGGAAACCTGTATCAAAGACACACCTACATTACTGAACAGAATTGGTGATGTTGAATTTGAAGGACATCAACCTCTACTCATTACTATGGATGTGAGTAGTCTATACACGGTGATCCCACATGAGGAGGGAATAGAGGCTATGCGTCAGGTATTATTAGCCTCAACGGTGTATAAGGGACCTCCCATCGAATTTGTCTTGGAAATCCTTACTTTAGCCTTGGAAAAGAACTATTTTCGTTTTGAAAATTCATGGTATTTACAGGTGTCTGGCACATCAATGGGGGCGGCAATGGCCCCCATGTACGCTAATGTATATATGTATATGTACGAAAAACGTTATATTTTGACACCGTATAGCCACTTAATCCAGGGATATTATCACTATATAGATGATCTTCTGATCATCTGGAAAGGTACAGCGATGCAGGCACATGAGATGGTGGAGGGTCTTAACCAACTTCCGGTGCCTATAAGACTAACGGCACACATCAGTCCTGAACAAGTTCAATACCTAGATGTAGAGTTAATGGTCGGCAATGGCAGGATAGAGTATAGTCTTTACACCAAGATGACGGATAGAAATACTCTACTGCATGCCAGCAGTGCCCACCCACAATCATTGATAAAATCACTCCCCAAAGCGCAATACTTAAGGGTGATGAGGAATAACTCTGATGAGACTACCAAGGAGAGACAATTAGCAGAGATGACACAAAAGTTTCTACAACGAGGATATCAACGCTTGGCGTTAGATCAAGCATTGAAAGAAGCTAAGAAACCTCGGATACCTAGAGACCAAACATCAACTCAAAGATTGGTCTTCCCTACCACGTACCATAAATCCACTCAGTCTATTTCCTCTGCGATAAGAAAGAACTGGAGAATTTTGGCAACGGACGACACCCTTCCCAAAGAATTTCGTGAAAAACCGCTTATCTGTTATAAGAGAAACAAAAATCTAAAAGACTTACTAGTACACACGGATCCTATTTTAAGCTACTCAGACAACACGTTTATTCAAAATCGAGGTTGTGTTCGATGTCTTGGGTGCGTTACATGTGGACACATGACGCCAGCAAAAAGTTTTTTTCACCCACACACGAACAAACAATACCCTATTAAGAGCACCATAACGTGTAAATCTACACACGTTATTTACAAATTAATGTGTCCATGTGGCCTAGTGTATATAGGAAAAACAGAAACGGCGTTATGCGAAAGGATAAGAGGACACCGATCAAGTATTCGATTGGCATATAGGGATGGAGAGTCGGACAAACCAGTTGTCAAACATTTTTTACAGATGGGACACTCATTGGCTACTTTAAAATTTGTGGCAATTGAACATGTTTCAGCATCAAATAGAGCGGGGGATCGAGGAAAATTTCTGTTAAACAGAGAGACATTTTGGATTTTTGAATTGGACACGGTATTCCCGAAAGGCTTAAATGAACATATCTCGTTCCATTCTTTTTTATAATATCAATTTATCTCACGCAATATTTATCTAAAAAAGTGGTTGTAGATCCATAATTGGGTAGTACCAAAAATTTTTTTCTTAGAAACCTATAACATGTCTGCCTTAATAAACTAGGGTGCACATTAGGTTATACATAATAATTTCTTTAAGAGGATCCTATAAACAAAGTTTATTTGGAGAGAAGATTTACATATATGTTGCTGCTTATAGGTAGTGAAATAATGTCTTTGTAACCAGATCAAATTTATTCCAGCTTGTTATATTATTTTTAAAGGTTTTAATAAAAGGATACATTTTGAGATAATGTTAATCACAAGTTGGGGATTACTATAATAATTATTATTATTATCATAAAAATAACGAGGAGTTTTATGGCACCCTGGTTTACATTTCTCAGATTGAATTCCTTTGTGTATGTATTAGTGAACTTAATTAGTGTTTTTATTGTATATAGTCTTGTGCACAGTATGTATATAATCATTGCAGCACTTTGTCACTTTAATTACTTACCAGTACTTTGCACTGTCACTTTGTATTTGCATTTAAACCTTCACTTATATTATATATGTATTTAATCACTATATTTTACTAGATGCTACTGAATAATCTTCACTGGCACCTTATTTGCACACAGCACTTTTCTACTTAACGGCATTCAGCCATACTTTTATAATGTGGCACGGCCGTAATGGAGATAATATCACCAATTAATTTGTTCACTGGTTCTAATACACTTTACACAATTAAATATATTGGTTATCGCGACCATAGTATTATTGGTAATTCACAATCTTTCTATCTGTTTGCACTTTATCCCCATAGCGACAGGTGTATATACCCGCGTCGCTATGGTTACGGTTGGGCACGTCGACGCAGGGTGATGACACTATGCGGGGCGGAGCTAAGTCACGCATGCGCACTCGAGGCACAGGGACGCCGGTCAGGCAGTAGGATTCGTTGGGGGTAAGCTGATTCACCTAATAATAGTTTAATTTAATTAAGTATGTTGTATATAAATATGTTGTATGTACCATGTCTGTTTATATGATCCTGAGGAAAGTCCTAATGGAAGGACTGAAACGTTGATCACAGCTTTTACTACTTGACAATAAACTTTGGACTTTTATTCAAAAAACCGTGAGTGCAACCATCCATTTGTATTTTTATATATATATATATATATATATATATATATAAACAGTGTTGGCTACCTCATCCTCCTCCTCCACCGCCACGGTCACTGCCTCCTCAACCTATGGGTCACTTAGTATAAACTAGGTACACATTAGCAGAGGCTTGTGAAGGCCTTTTCTCCATGTATCAGGACTGCAAAGAATGCACCGCAGGCCGCAAATGTTTCTTTATTTGTATGTCCCAATATTTTGTGGGCTACCACAATTTAAAAACAAAACAAAACATAAAATACAGTGTTGGCTACCTCATCCTCCTCCTCCACTGCCACAGTCACCGCCTCCTCAACCTATGGGTCACTTAGTATAAACTAGGTACACATTAGCAGAGGCTTGTGAAGGCCTTTTCTCCATGCATCAGGAGTTGAGCATTTCTCCATGCATGAGGACTGCAAGAAATGCACCGCAGGCCACAAATGTTTCTTTATTTGTATGTCCCAATATTTTGTGGGCTACCACAATTAAAAAAACAAACAAAAAACCCCATAAAATAACAGTGTTGGCTACCTCATCCTCCTCCTCCACCGCTGCTTCCTCCTCCACCGCCACAGTCACCCGCCTCCTCAACTTATGGGTCACTTATTGTAAAGTAGGTACACAATAGCAGAGGCTTGTGAAGGCCTATTCTCCATGCATCATGAGTTGAGCTCAGTTTGAACAATGAAAGAGAATACCCTGCACGCCAACCCTCTCTCAAATGGTTAATTCTGGTGATCCTCCTGACAGCCATGCTTTAGATTTTGATTTATGTTCTTCCAAAGCTAAATTCAAAGATTCCATCTAGAGCTATTTTATGGCTCAGTTGTATTTTTAATTTTTATGTTATTTTAAATGATTTCCCTATCCACATGTGATTGCAGGGCACTTGTCCTACTCTTACCCCCATATTACTTCCTTTTGCAGCTCTCTAGCCCTTTCCAGGAGTTTTTAGGGGCATTTTTGTGGCCAAAAGTTCGTGTCGCCATTGACTTCAATGGGGTTCAGGTTCGGGGTCAAATTCGAGCCCGAACCCGGACTTTTTTTCAAAGATCGACCAAACTCGCTGGACCCGAACATCCAGGTGTCCGCTTAACTCTATTTAAGACATTAAAGTAGTAAATAGGGGAACCAGCTGTGGTTACAATAACATATAGTGATCTAATTTCTAATTGGTGCTTGATCCAAGGAGATATCTGACTGCCATTTTAGGGTCAAGAAGGAATTTTTTTTCCTAGTTTGTTGCAAAATTGAAGATGCTTCAGACTGGGCTTTTTTCCTTCTTTTGGATCAACCGCAAAAACATATTTGAGAGGCTGAACTTGATGGACGCTGTAACGGAGCTCCAGTACTCCAATCGAGTACCTCCGCCAAGTCTGCTTCCTTGTAGCTATCAGGGACCCTGAAACACTTCAGACCCACACGCTGAGGCTTGACTGGGATCACTTAGGGCCTTTTCCACCCTAGACCAAACACCAGACGACACAAAAGGAATTTTGGAGCCCACCCATAGTGTCTGTCTTCCATCCCCAGTGATGGTGACTACCGTCACATATCTTCCCCCGCAAAGGTAGACTAACCAGGTACCAGACCTCCAATCGGTCTGTGCCTGAGTTAGTCAGGTAATAAGTCCCAAAAAGTCCATCCATCCTGGCAGCCTTCTCGACAAAGTTCCACATAGTTTGTAAGTTTTTCCCAATCGGGAGCATGGAGCCCTCATAGCCGATCAGTCTGTGGAAGTCTGGTTTGGGCAGGCCAGACTGGGCTTCTCGGTCACCCTGTGCCTCTAATAAGCACAGGGTGACTTAGACATAAGAGGGGACTTGGAAATGGAGAAAGAGAGTTCCCAGTGAATCTGCCATGGCCCCCTTCCCAAACTCAAACCTATCCCCATATGACTCCACTCTTAGGGGGCCACTGTGACCCCAATAGACCCCAATAGCAATTCTGGGACCCTATATCTCCAGCTTAGAATAGTTTCCAGCATATTTCTCCCCCTTCAGTAGGAGACCAATACAGGAGACCCCAGATGAGTTGACTCTGAAGTTAGTGATTACATCCAGATCATCAAGGCCATCACCGAAACGGTACCCCATGCAAATTGCCCATGGAAGAGCAGCACTTACTCAGCCGACCTCTGCATCCACTAAAGCATATACCTGGTGATGCGTGCCCACTGTCCTGTCTCCCTGGATCTCTCTCAGCCGCTGGAGTGAAGTCAGGATGGCTGGGCTCCCTCTGACATGGGGTTGGGGATCGGAGCTCATTGTTCAGCCTTCCTGGGGACTACAGGTAGAGACCAGAGTCCCATCCATTTGTATTGGATAGAGATCCCCCCAGTGCTTGTGGCAAAGGGCTGAGGTTAGCTGTGCTTTGCTCTGGGATCCACTCTTCCGTGGGACCAGCAGTGTCTGATGCCTGAGGCTCGCGGGTTACCAGTGGGTTAGGGCAGAGGCAAGTGGAGCTCTGCCCCAATGCCAGCGCTTCAGCTGGGGGAGTTGCACACTCCTTGAACTAAACCTTCACTAGAAGGTTGATCTCCCTGCTCTTCAACTCCAGCGTCATTGCAAGTTGGGCATAGAGGCCAGTGGTCCCCTGTCCTGATGCCAGCTCTTCTGCTGGGGTTACACTTTGCCGCTGGGGAAAAAGACCAACTGCCTCCTCTCCCTGTAATGCAAACTTCAGCTGGGGAGGGAGATTGACTTCCTTTATTCCCAGTAACTCAATTTGCTGCTGAAGGGGGAGACAGACAACCTCTACCTCTGCTGCATGAGTTTCCATGCCAGGAGTTGGGAGATCTGGGATGACTGTCCAGTATCCTACCTGACCAACATATTCAGATGTAAGGTCTATTAAATCCCCAGTCTCTGGTACCTGCTGCTGTGAAGAGTCAAACATTTGCTTGTAATCCAGTTCAAGCTCCCACTCCATGGTGGCCAGGTGGGTCAAATCAGGTTCCAGGTCAGTTGCTTCTGAGAGATCCAGCAGGTGTTCCCTATTTTCCCTAATGTCATAAAGCCAGGACCTCTCAGGACTTCCCAATTCAATTTTATCCTCAAAGGCCTCCCACAATAGGCCAGGGCCATCATAGTCCTCACCCTCTGGAGGGTCACCATCTGCTAGAAATGGGTACTGCTGGAATCATCCAGCCACAATTCTTTCTGTACCAGCTCCTCTAATTTAAACACCCATTC